CGTATCCCACAAGCTGGCACCAAAATTTTGGAACGGCCTCCTTCTACCTAACAAAGGAAGGTCGCTACGTCACTCCACTGTTACTCTTCTGGTAGTCTGCCACCAACCATCCCCTGCAATAAGTATCTTCAGGCCGGAATGGATTTCAAACAAAATAACTAAAGTTTATTGATTGGTACATTAAGATTGGTATAACAAATAAATCAGGTAATCACATAAAGAAAGGCTCTAGCTCACACAGACTCATATCTCCACACAATCTGATCACTATCTCATCTCAACACTCCCAGATCCTGATCTGACTCTCACACACATATACACCTATATATCCCAGCTCCTCCCCCTGATGTCCCGCCTTCCGACCACCATTGGATGTTAACACTCCAGCCTAAACCTTGAAGGACAGGTGACATCATAGCTGTTTGTAACAGGAGGGACCTAAATACATGGTGTCCTGTGTACAAGTGGCAGGTATTTTTATAGTCAATGCCTGTGATTTCATAATACTGAGTAGAAGGCATGACAGGAGAAGGCACGTAAAAGGAAAGCTTCTGTATTCTTTATTCCCAATATCCTTTGGTACCAACATTTTCAAGGAGGTAAAGACCCAAAGGCAGTTGTTAGTTCCAGTCAGTGTAGATCCATTAAATCAATGGGACTTACAGTACATAAGTCCTGTCTTAGCCATTGTATAAGTCTATCTAGTTCATTCAGTAGGTCTGCATCTAGTTTGGACTAATAAATGGACTAGCCCATAGACTAAAAAAAGAATAGAATCAGTGCACAGAACACCTCTGTGAGGATCAGTCAGGGAAGACTAGGGAAATGAGAAACTACCGTGTATCAGTATTCTTCTCAAATATTGTCAGAAGTAGATACATACAGTTGAAGGACATCTGAACAAGAGCCATCGAGCCCAATCCCCCTGCTCACTTCTGGGCTTGAGGGAAACCAGATCTTTTAATGCTCTAAAGAAAACCAGAAATTTCTGGAGCCAGTGTTTCTCTTCAGAGGGTGCAATACTGTCTGACTGATAGACTTCAAGGACTTATATTTTCACACTGCCATATAGGTAGAATGTTAGTGTCATTTATGCTTTGCTATTGGGTCAGAACATTTTCAATTCAATGTATCTTGTCCTTTGGTTTGGTCATGGTCACCACTTCTTAGGCCATATTCCATCAACCTTAAACCCCCCGCCCCCAGTCTTTGGACCAGTTGTGGTAGTGTGTGAATGAATGAACTTAAGTCCCACTTCGCACTATTTCAAACCCTGTAGTTTTTGACTGTGTAGCAAAAGGTTATCACAAGTCAAGCTTACTTGTCTTCCCTCAAGCTTTGGATCTTAGTAGTTAAGAAGCAGTGGTTGTGGGAAATGACCTTATAGGATACATCCAGAGTTCCACTATCCATTGTTCATAACCATGGTGCCAAGGTTCAGTTCTACCTTCTTTGGGTTCCATCATGGTGGTCTCTGGGACCAGAGCAGGAACAGTGGGACCATGGCCTTTGAGCACCCACACTTGGTCAATGTGAAGTTCCTGCCCCAAAACACTTTTAACTTTATGAAATTCTTGAACAGTAGTCTGCTCATGCATATATGTGAAGAGACCAATTATTGCTCAATCCCCTCCCCCCCACACACACACATAGTTACAGATCAATGGCCTTTAATTCCTCAAAGCCATATTATGGAGCTCCTTGAGATACTGGGACCCTTCAATTGTGTTTTGCCAAGTAAGCAACCCACAGTTTGGCTTAGGCCTGAAAGTTTCAATGGCAACCCCCACTTCTAACCATTGCAAATTGACCCCTAAAACTATCTCCTGGTACAAAGCACATCCTCTGTAGATATTCTGACAGTGATCCACTAAAAATTCAAAATGTTTTTAGTGTATAGAAATACCTTTTATTACTGGTAAAACAAAATAAAATGTTTATAAATGTTTTCTCAACAAAAACTGATTGGTCATTGGTCTGGTTTAGAAACTAAAGTGAAGTGATTCTTCAAATCATGTTTGAATGATCATTTCAGAGATATTCGAAGTTGGATGAAATGCAATTATAGGAATTTGCTTAGTTTTTCTATCCCTGCCTACAGTGGTTTAACTGCACTCAGGCAAATTAAAACCCAAACTGACTCGTTTTGTGCATGAACCTTTGTAATACTGTACCTTTAACGGAAATTCCAAGTGTCTCCTTTTTCTTATGTGGCACATATTGTACTTTTCTTTACATAGAAAAAACCTGAAATTCACAAATTATTAAAGGGATTTAAAGAGCCCAAATGTCAGTTCTTATATTAAAACCAGTCTAACTTGGAGATGCTCAGGAGGCTTCTTTTAAAATTGTCTATTTGTTTCTTACAGTTATTGCTGGGAAGGTAATTATATCAGTTGCTACTACAAAGAAAAACTAGCAAACATGATTGCTGTTGAATTACAAATGCTAACACTTTCTCTCCTGTCATTTTAGCTCTTGCATCTGGTGGCTCTCTTCCAATAACATCACTAGATGCAACTGGGAACTTGGTGTTTGCCAACGCTGGAGGTACACCCAACATCGTAACTGCCCCACTGTTTCTGAATCCTCAGAACCTTTCACTGCTCACCAGCAACCCAGTTAGCTTGGTCTCTGCAGCTGCAGCCTCCGCAGGGGCCTCTGGAACAGTCGCCAGCCTTCATGCCACCTCCACCTCAGCAGAGTCTATCCAGAACTCTCTCTTCACAGTGGCCTCAGCCAGTGGGGCTGCCTCCACCACCACTACTGCCTCCAAGGCACAGTGAGTTGGGTTGAGCTGTGCTACCAATAGCTTGTTTCACTCTGCAGTGAGATTGGCTGTCAGCTGGGTTTATAAACTGCAAAATGTGATTGACTCCCTCTCACCGTGTTGCTGGGAACAAGAGAGAGAAGGAAAAATACAAAAAGAGGGAAGGGAGAACAAGAAGAAGGATTTAAACTGGGACAGACATTTGCCTAATTTTATAATAAACACTGTTTTCAGGATTGCTTCATTGATTGGAGAACTTTCTAACCAAAAATGTAAAAAAACAAAACAAAAAAGGACTACTTATCATTTCCAGCAGTTTCAATGACAAGTTAAGGTGGGTTATTGACTCAAACATAGGAATGGGATTTCTTCTTTCTTTTTGATCTAAATATCTTTTTTTAATTATCATTTTTTGGTCTGTTGTACAGGCCATAATGTCATACAAGGTGTTTATAATCTTATCAATCGTGTTGGGGGTTCCTTTCTTAACTGGTACAATTTAGGCAGGCCTGTATTACTGATGTATCTCTTTATGATTATTATTATTATTTGTCTATATATAGAGTTTGGACACATTTGTCTTTGTTCCTGGAAGCATTTCAGTGAGCTCCCATGCCACACAGAGGGAGGAGAGAAGGAAGGGGTGAATGTGAATTGCAAATGTTCTTTACAGTTTCCTTTTCCATGGTGGCATGTTTTTGAGGGAATCTTTCAAGAGATTTTGGCAGCTAAGTGAACATGCAGAGGGTAATGTGCAAAGATAATCCATGTTTGTGAGCTGGGAGTTCAGTTTGGACAGCAGTTCACTCATCATCTTTGGGCCATATCTAGCTCTTTTTTGCACGTCTTTGGCGCCTGTTGATGCCAAGAGGGGAGGGATTTGGCCTGTAGTCTGTCCTCAACACCTGTGTTGGTGGCTCTCTTATCACAAAATTGCATGGAAATTGCCACTTTACAGCTTTGGGAATATTTCTGTTATTTACTTTTCTCAGGAGTCTGCCTATAATGGTGATAATGCATATGCATTCAGCTTCCTACTGGCTGTTTGGCATAGAGCTTCTAAAAGATGCACTGGCTTATCTCTAAGAACATTTTTATCCTAGTGTCTCCTGGTGCATTGTATGCATTTTATCCTGGTGCATTGTATGATTGTATTGAAAATGTTTTCAATGTAAAACATTTCTACTCCAGAAGTAAACTGGGTCATGTGAACAGGAACTACTGTTTTATGCCACACAGCTATAAGAAAGCAGTCTTGCATTCTTGCTATATTCTGTAAGCAGTTGTAATGTTCTCTGACACTGTCCGCTGGTCTGGAAAAAGAAGTAGGAAGGAATTACCAGAAAACTGGCCAGTATGCTGTAGGACATGGTGAACATGGCAGATTGCATGTATCTTGAAAAATGTCATGGTATTTCTGGCAGTGGCTGCCACTGCTAGCAACATGATTTATGGCAGTAAACACTTCTGTTAGAAAGAGAGGGAAATGTTTCCAAGCAATGTAACAAGTGGTATGTGCAAATAGCTGCTGACAGTAGATGTGCAAGAGACAGAGGAGACAGATTAAGTTAAGAACTATACTGGCCTTAACCTAAATCTTTCCATTTTAGAACTAGGTAGATCACTGCATTGTACTTAGAACTTTCCTCTTCTTTTGAGTTGAATTAGAAAATAGTCTCAGGAAGGAAAAACTGCCCAGTTTTTTTCTCACAAAAGCTGGGGAGTGGGGGAGTGCCAGAGCTCATGCAGTTATGATCCATTTTCTGCCCAAGCTGGTACATCAGCCTCTCACCACCTGATACCAAAAAGACAGTAATTTTATTCTTAATGCCTTTTCTGGCGAACAAGCCCCATTTATGGGCCCTGCTTTAATTGTCAATTGGCAGAAATCTCTGTCTCCTCTGGACATGTCATCATGCTGTTTGTTTTGTGTTCATCTCTGACTCTCTAACTTCCTGTTTCACAAGCTGTTTAGATCATAACGAATTCTTCCTAAAAACTTTGAAAACTTGTGAACTGAAAGCAGGGAAATGAGCAAATGTCCGTCCACCATCTTTAATGTGTGTTTAATTTTTTAATGTTTTATTTTTAAAAAAAAACTAAGCTTGAACCAAAGTCAATTTCTAGCAAGCTGCTGTACTAATGGACTAGTTTGTATAAGTGCAGTTCAGATGCAGAGAAGTGATAGATGCTACTGACAATTTCTTTTCATTTTTTATTTTATATTAAAATTGCTGCTTGTTTTAATCTTTTTGGTGGGGGGAGTGGGTTGGTCTTTTGTATATCCATTGGGGCAGACAAACTCTTAACTTGATTATTATCTAATTTCCATGGTTTGATGTGTAAATAGAATGGCAATGGCAGATGGTTACTAATCCAGCTGATCCCACATCCTGTCCTTAGCATTTTGGCTCAGTCTAAATACTGTGGTGTGGCTGTCTCCATGATTTCAGTCTCAGTGTAAAATTATAGGGCTATGAATAATACTGTGTGTTAAGATTTTAAGTGGCCCATGGTAACAGCTTGGAGCGGTTGAATGTATGAAAGGATGGCAGAAGAGAAACAGGTACCCACTATGTTGGTCTAATTACCATAGTGTTGACTAGTTTCTACCAAAGGAAATATCAATCCCATGGATTTTTTTTCTTTTTTTCCATTGAAATAAGAACTTATGCACATGCAGACTCACATAGACATATACACCAGTGGATAGAAGAGATAGGTTCTGGACCACAGTGCTTGTCCTTTTGTGGATTTTGGATACCTAGAAGACTATTTACATTTATATAGAAAAATAAGTAAAACATGGCCCTTTTACATCATTATACAATATCTCTTCAGTTGGATGGCTGTGTTCAGTTGGATGGCTAGTTTTTCATATTCTTTGTAATTAAAGGGTGTGATAAATAGATATCTAGAACACTAGCATAGCATGGTTGTAAGCTATAGACAGCTTATAGTTCTGTTGCAGTATTCACATAATTTTGGTTTTTCTTCTTATCATGTCATGGTAAAAATGGCTAAACCCCTGGGGCATTTCATACCAAGTTATTTTATAAAAGTACTGGAATTTTTTTTAAAAAAAGGCACCCCGCAGCTAAAATGCTTTGACTGAATTGTACTAATTCCTTACCATACCCCATTTGTCTCAGACTTAATGCATTTCATCTTCTGACATGAGACTGATTGCAGCTTTCTACAAACAGCACATTGATACCAGAGTCTTAAAGGCAAGTGCTATTTGTTGTTGGTCATGGCCACATATTTACACATAACTACATTAGCAGAATACATTAATATGCACATACAAGTGGGCTCATAAACTACACATTCTAGAGAAATAAATTCACACAATTTAAATTATCACTTCTGCAGAAAATCAGATATGTATAACTAGAGAGGTTCTCCAGGAATCTCATTGTTGTAAAACTTTTCTGTTATTAATAAGTTAGAGATGTGTACAGCTGCAGCTCATAAGCTTTGTAACAGCAGGAATATATTTTTGGTAGTCATTACAAAGTTCAATAATCCCGAATACTGTATGACTTTGGTCATAATTTCCAAGATTCACCAATTTCCCTTAATCTTATCTGTTGAGCAGATTTTGATCCTGTATCCCAATATTCTAGAAAGTGGTCAATTAATATTATTACCATTTTTTCCTGCATGGGTCATTTAGCTGTTGTACTCATTTATTTTATGCACTCTTAAAAGTCTGAAACATTTTCTTTCACAGCTAAAGAGGCTTCAGTGGATCCATGGTTACATTACATTCTAGATCTTATTTATTACAGATATACAAGGGAAGGTTTATCCTTGTGGTTACAATCTTTGCAGTTACATTTTTTAAAATAAAAATCACAGACAGCAGTCTATATCCTTTTCAGATCAGTAGGAAAATTTCTTTCAGTTTTAATCAAGTAGAATTTCAAAACTGGAAGTGGCATAGGAAACCAAACTAGGAACAATATTATTTTCTGAAAAGATGGATTGAGAGTAACATATTGAGAAATATGTTTAAAATTTTTTAAAAAAACTTTTTCACAGATTAGGTAAAATATCAGTTTGTGGTAGCTTAAACTGTGCATATTTAGGGCCCACATGGATGCTTTATACAATTTTTTTATATAAATCATCCTGTGCTGCCAATTTCCATTTTACAGAATCTGCATATGAAGTTCATATATGCAACAAAGATGTTTGAAATGCCCTTAGATCACACTTCATTTTCTTGAGGTTCAGAAAAATCATTCGCTTCAGGGGATATGAATGGACATACCTTGACTCTCTTTTTTCCACAAGGCTTATGTTTATCAAGTATTACTGAATATCAGCTTTAGCTTTAAAATGTTTTGTCATCTTGAGCATGTATATTTTATATATATACCTATAGTTATGCTGTTGGCATGCATCTGTGTCAGTCGGGGTTGGGAGGCTGGCTAGCAGTACTTCAGATTCAAGTGCAACTTCCAGCCAGTCTGAGTGGAAAGTTGCTTGGAGTGAAGAGGCAGACATCAGACCATTGTTGTGGGTCATTATTAACTAATCTACCTATTTTATCCTGCTGGGTCTAATAGTTGAATACATCCCAGTAAGCTGCCCCAGTAGTCCAGGGAATAAGATGCACTAGTAAGGCTCAAAGGAGTGACATTGCTGTGGATTCTAACACACTGTAGCAATGGAATGAAAATGTCAATTTACATATCTCTGTAATGGTTTTTGTATTTCTCCAAATATAATATGCACCGGCATACATGAACAGAGCACACACAAGATTGGAGCTGCTGTAATACCCCCAGTACCTTAATCGTGATTAAAGGGAATTGCTGTGGGATAGCCAGATTCATGATTAAAAGGTTTGGGATGAATGCCAGTGTAAGCCTTAAAAAAGATTAAGTCTGATGAACTGAGTATCTACAAGGAGGAAGGTAGGGAAAGTGGGGTTCTATTATAGCCTAACCACACTCAGAGACTTGGGTATATAACATCTGGTTGCAACATCTGCAAAACTCTGTTGGAGTGTTTTGTGATGGCATAGTACTGATGTGTGTCACCAGAATCAGGAGAAGAAAGAACATTCCTAGGAAAAACTACCACTTTGATGTTGCAAGTGTGGGTTGCTCAGATGACCTGTAGTGGACATAAAAAGGCCTATCTCTTTGCTGTTAAGGTGTGAACCAATCCTGAATGTTGCATCCACTCTTTTTTAGTCACTTGGGGTTAGTTGCCAAGGGAAAGGAACTTATGTACAAACTGTAGTCTCATTACATTGATTTATATTTTATTTTGAAGTTCATCTAAGATGCTTCTGCTGAATAGCTCAACCAAAAATGG